GTAATAAACTTACTTAAACTTACTTTTTAACATATTAATGTGATATATGTGAATGACATAAGTCTGTTAGGCTAGCTCCTTTAATAGAAAAAAAGAACTAAAATAAAATGATGTACCTTGAAAACTTTTTATTGAAAACAAGACTACTATCTTTACAGTGTTGGCTAAGATTTATCCAGATGGTTTTTTGCATTTATTCTGGCATCTCCATATAAATTCATATAAATAAGAATTCAGTAAAGTAGGTCTAATACAATATTCTATATAAGGCTGTTGACTTAGAATGAAAAAATATCTAATTATTGCAGTTTGTTTTAACAAAATTTGAATAGAATGGAATAAACTGCACTACGTTAGGAAAAAAAAGAGTGAAAAAAATTTTTTTGGCTTTATTTTCACTATAAGTATGCGTTTTGTATATGTTTGTTACTAGAGGACTTAGCCTATAGATATGAAGCTAAATAATATTTTTTTTTATGTTTTTACTTATGCAAATTAATTAATAAGAACAACTGTGATTTAAGCATTGTCCTTGCAGTGATATGCATTGAATCTTATGTATGTTCTGGAATTATGAATTATCATTAAATATTGAGATATGTATAATATTAGCAGCATATGCATGTTTTTTTCCTCATTTATTCTTATAAATTTATCAGTATTTTTTCTACGTATTATGAAAAGTAACTATCAGAGCAAATAAATGTATTAGTAAATAGTATCTGTAAAGTTCTGTGTGTAAAGGTATTATTTTTATTTTTATGTATGTATGTATGTATTATTTTTTTATTTTATTCTGAGCTCAATAAAGAACAAAAAAAAAAAAAAATTTTTGGTATGGAATTTTTACTGTACTAAATCTGTACAAAAACTGATTTCTTAAATATAGAATCCCACAGCCATCAGAGCATGAAAGTAGTTTCTGTAGCATTCTGCACTTTATTCTAAAAACATTATAATTTAAAGGTGTATATCTTGAATCAGTATTTAAAATCATAAAGCTTTTAAGCATTTGCCTTTTCTGGAAACGCATACGAATTTAACATTTTTAACCAATATGGCACAATAATAGACGTTTGATCGCATGTGAACAAACTTCAGATAGCATATTAAAAATAAAAAACAAGAATTATATGCAGACAAGATTGCATAGACGTTAGGAATTTTTGGAAACAGGAGATATGAAAATGAGCAACGCCCTCGCCGGGACTCAAACCACGGATCTCTCGAATACGCGTCGAGCGTGCTGACCACTACACCACGAAGGCATAAGAAGGCGGAAGAAATGCCTCATATACTCCCCATTTAAAGGGCGACTGGGGGATTAGGGGAACCAATCGCCAATTGTAAGCAGGAGATGTGAAAAATTAGCAATGCCCTCGCCGGGACTTGAACCACGGACCTCGTCGAGCGTGCTGACCACTACTCCACGAAGGCGGGAGAAATACCTTATAAGCTATTAAATTTTTCAGAAATTTAAAATGTGAGCTGGCATGCACTTGTGTATTTATCATGTAAAATTGGTTTACAATTTTAGAAAAGTATCTGTTGATTCAGAAAAGCTTTAGAACTTAAAAATTACTGAAGTTGTATTCATACCACTTTAAGTGGTTCGAGGAGCATAAAGATGAGTTTTAATTGATGTCCTGGCCAAAGCTTTAATGTCCTTTCAGTATTTTAATGCGTAGTGTAAATAAAAACAATATTCTGAACTCCATCAGTGCTGAAATGTCATAGCTGAGAAATTAAGAATTATCATGCAAATACAATACTGAGAGGCTTATAATTTTTATATAACACATGAAATTACCTTGAATTCTAAAAGAAAAATAGTTAAAGAAATATGAAAATGCGATTTTTAAAACCAGTATAACCTCACGCAAAACGAAGAATATATCTGAGAGAAATCTCCTGTCAAAAAATATGTTTTGAGATGCCTAACATTATGCATGCATTTAAAAGTAAAAACTGAAAATTCAATAAAAGAAGCCTTCTTATGATACTCAGTTTCAGGATATCCTTAATTACCTGTTAATTAATTAATTAATACCTGTAATATTTTTTACTTCTTCAGTACATAAAGCTCTACCTGTTCTACTAATGGTATTTTACGAGCTTCACAAAAATTTAAACGACAAAATGAAAATATAAATTACTGAACATAATGTAGAATGTACAGCGATAATCAAAGATCTTTCTATTTCATAATACTGACAATTTGTTACATCAATGATAATCACAAATTTTATGCGGAATCTGCTATGTTATTAAATGAGGAGTTTTTGTTGAAAATGAGGGTGAATTATTCCAATACTACATGCAATTAAATCATGAACATAATAAATTAAATTAATATGTAAGAAGGAGTAAATAATGCATAGTTTATTGACATGTTAAATTTTACGAATAAGCTTTGTTAGCTTGTGCTATAACATGAAACTAACACATTTCATTAAAAAAAAACTTTTACTCTGAATGAGATCAGTTTATGCCATTTAATTATGCAAAGTCCATTTATTCTACGAAGGGCTAATGCAACAGTTCTAAGAAATAAATTATTGCGTAGCACAACAGCCTGGAAATTATCTCTACCAGAAGTTAACACTTATTCTAAAACGCATGCTTAAAAATGTTGTTATTATTAGAAAAATATAAATTTACAGAAGTAAAGTAATGAAGTAATGTCTCTAAAATGCATCCAGCCTAAAACTATAAAAAATCCCAGCATTCTAACTCAGCGTTCCCACAACGCAACAAGCTTCAGTAATGAGCCATTTCTTCCGTTCCGAAGTTTGTTATGACTAGAATACGTGACGTCATAGGAATTTTCAAACCGCGTGCTTACGCTTGAAGTAGAGTCGGTGTTGTCTTAACCCGATAGAGCACACTTGGGATGTCATGGAGCGGCACTTCAGAGTTCAAAAACCACCATGTCGGAATCCCTCGACTTTGCGTGACCTCTGCTCAGACATTTGGTGCAACCTGTCTCCAGCCGTCTATCAAAAAGTTCTGGCATCAATGCTGAGGCGAATTTGCAGCTGTTTTAAAGGCCTTGCAAAAAGTCGCACAGCAGGTTATTAATCACCTCTGGTCATAATGTTTTGGCTCCTCAGCTTATATGGTTAGGCGAAGCAGCTGAGAAAAACGAAGAAATTTCATCTTTTAATGAAGATGATACAGAGAATGCAGAAGTGATGAAGAGAATGAAATGTCTGAACTTCAAATGTTTAATTGAATGGTATATATATATATACTCGAAGAATTACAACACGTGATCTAATTAACAAACTTGTAGAAGTTAAATATGGTTGTCAAGTATTAATGTAAAATCCAAAACCAAGAAGTGGCTTAATTCACTTTAACACGAAAATATTTTTTGGTAAGCAATGGAACTCCCCCCCAATGAAGGGATTTAGCCATTATAGGCGTTGTCCACTGCTAAGGCTGGAAGCGGTGGAACCTAATAGGCGGGCTATCGTAGCTTCCTATTAAGGAACAGCCATCCATGCCTTTTCCGGGATATGAAGTAGGGCTCTTTAGTAGGGCAGTTATATGACTAAAATACAAACACATGTAAGAAAATCAATAAGTCTTTCAGCATATATAGAGAAGGTGGGATTAATGGCATTTGTAAATATCTCAAAGCTGGAGTCGCTCAAGGATCGGTACTTGCACCGACTTTTTTAAATTTATATATAAATGATCTCCCACAACCCCTTTTGCGTAAAACAGTCAAATATGCTGAGGATACCATTATTATGTTACGCTCACGCAAACCACAACATGCCATAGAAAATTTACATTTTGGAATTAACTACATAAATCTTTTGTGTAAGTTCTGGAAATTCAAAATAAACACCAGCAAGAGCAATATTGTTATATTTAGAAGGTATCGTAAAAATCAGCCAGTTAATATTAACATTACAATACATAAGTCTCTACTTCCAGTTGTCAGTTCAACAAAATATCTAGGAGTCATTCTAGATGAACAATTAACGTTTAAAGATCATGTGGCATATGCTTTGACCAAAGCCTTCATGTCAATCTACAGTTTAATAGGGAGAAAAATCAAAATTTAATCTCAGTATTAAGAGAACTTTATATCTAGAACTAATTCGGCCAATACTTTTTTATGCAGCTCCGTGTTAGGCTACCGCGCCAAAATATTATCGTCGCAAGATCATCGTCCTCCAAAATAAAATCCTTAGAAGCCTAGCAAATTCACCATCGTTTGTCAGAAATCAACAGATACATCAGGATTAAAAATTCCTCATGCCCAAGATTAGTTACTGATGACCGCGCATAATTTCTTCAGAAGTGTATAAAATTCAGAACATCACTATATAGCACAACTTGCAAACTATGATCCAACAATTGTGCATCCATTCAAGCGTCCTCGTGCTATTGCATATTAAATTTCGCCAATGGAGGCCCAAAAGTGCAATAACCTCGTTTTTCTCCCTGCTCATAGTTAATAAATCTCATCAAAGCAACAGATGACTAAAGACTGTGATTTAAATGGCAAATTATTATGACTTTTGTTTTGAATTCTTTAAAGCGGGTATAGGACTTTGTTGTACCTTACTTCAACCCATATTATTACGCTCAACGCATTGTCATTATTCTAGTATTAGCCCATTTAAACTTGGCAAATAATTTTCAAGTCCTCATCGCAAGAATACAATTTCATGATACATAATTTACTTCATCTATGTTTATTAAGTTTCAACTGTATTATGCATTTTCCATATAGCAAATAAAATTTTCATGTTTGTTTTACTTAGACACTAATCTAAGTCGCGCAAAAGGGTTTATTCTTCTATTTCCAGCCTCAGAGCACAGGGCCAACCTAGAGGTTGATGGCTCGAGAACCACTAGCGATTTTCGATGACATTTGTTTATGAAGCACCAATTTAAAACTTTGTTTCTAGTGTTTGGCAACAAAAATGTTTGTTTATGAAAGGTAGGTAGCGGTTTTTGTATTTGGCATTAATTGAAAATATTTGGTTTTTACATGTTTTTGCCCATTTTTTCTGGTGTGAATTTTTTTAATTAAATTCCTTTGATTTTAATGTTTAGTTTCGAAATAGATGATTTGTTAAAAGAATATTGTAGGAATAGAAACTAAGAAAATTTTCAATCTGGGTACGATTTATATCATGAAGTAAGTTAAGAATAGTTTGCAATCCAGATTTATATATGTGTTTGGGGGGATGTTTATGTATTTATATTAATATAATGAAGTTTAATTCCTTTCTGATTCATTTCTATGATATAAATTTCGTGTAAATTTTTATAGTAATCATAATAATATGTATGGTAATGATATACAGTGGTACGTCGGTATACGTCCGTCAACTTGATTTACGTCCTGTATGGACGGGAAGATTTTTTGTTTGGTATACTAAATTTGGCTAATCTTTGGAATATGGTAACAGGTAGTTTGGTGACATTTTGGTAAGGCGATAAAGGTTACTAGCTAGGACTTTAGCAGTGTACATGGATAAAGTCAAGAGTGTGCGCAATGCCATTTTTGTGCAATTCTGGGATGTTTTTTTAAGTGAAAATAGGTCGACGTGTACATGCAATCCGTGTCTGTGCAATTCTTAAAAACGTGGCAAGCAGTTTGCGATTCTGCACTTTCTCCCAATTTCGCACCTAATCTTCGTCATGATTAAGCACTTTTATTCCATAAAAGTTCTAGCATAAGCGTAATTCGGCTAGCAGATTGTTGGAAAAAAATGTTGAGTGTAAAAAAAAAAAATACATGCCTTTACTTCGTGAAAACAAAATGGCGTTCAAACAAAAAACTAGCAGGTTGCTGTAGCAGGGTTGGTCGCCAAAAAATCGCCAAGTTACCATAATCCAAAGATTAACCCTAAATTTGTTTGAAATACGAGTGGAATTCGATGAGTTACGACTACACTTGTTCAGCTCATTCTAGGCAATGCTGCGACTGCCTATGAGCGGCAGTACGCCTGTTTCTACTGTTCAGTAAAGAACTCGTGCTATAACTCTGACTTTTGAATTGATTCTGTGCTTTTTCGGGTTGATATATATATATAATATATATTTTTAGGGGGGGGAAACTACTTTTATATGTGCCCTCTCCAAAGTTTGGCGAGAAACTCTACACCGACATATTACTACCAAAATTTTTTGTCTACATTTTGAATTTTAAGCCTAAAATGTCTCCAAAAACCAAGTTTTGAAGACACAATTTAAGCTTAAAATTCCGAAACAAACACAGAAAATTTAGATAGCGAAAACGTAAAGTTTCTAACCAAAAATATTTGGCAAGAATTCATGCACACAACAATACATTTTAACTTCAAAAAACATCTATGAATTGCACATTCTAGGCAGCGAAGGAATCTATGAACTACGCACACCTCACTTCAATAAATTATCATAACAACAATAAATTTTAAAGAATACCATGTACACAGCATTCTGTTTAAACTTTAAAAAAATCAACGAATTACACAATCTAGGCATTGCGCACAAATCAACCAAATAAACTAAACTAAATTACAAACAATTCAAAAACAATAACAGCAGAAATTCATAGTAAAAAAAACAATGGGTACAACTCTGATAAACGCCCTAATTTCACCAAATGTGACAATATGTGTTTTGCGCTGGTTTTTGGCGCGATTGCGTGTTGTGTGGCAACCATGTCGACGTTGAAAAGTCTTTTGGTGGAGTAGTTTCTTAATTGCTAGTTGGCTCGTGTCGCGTGTGTTTTTGAAATGGCCTGTGTTGCGATGAAAGGCAGATGTGGTGGGAAGGTTTCAGCTGCGTATTTTAGATTATGTGCAGAGTAAATTTAGTATGAAAAGGTACGATGTTGGAGTTGTTAACGAGTCTTTTGTTCACGGATGTATTTATGGAGATCGTAGTGTATTTTTAGAATTTCTGTGGAGTCGGGACTTTTTAAAACGGAGTTTGAGTGTCCAAAAATGCGGAGGAGCTGATATGGAAACCTGGACGAAAAATGGTGTTTCTGATAGACTTGTGTGGGTTGCAGTAAAATTGTTGCTAATAAAGTATGTGGGTGTCAGCGGAGTTTAAGGTTTGGATCTTGGTTTCGTTGTAGCAAGTTAACGTTGGAGGAAGTTTTATTGTTACTTTCGAAATTTTGATCGTAGGAAGGCATGTGATATAGCAAAATTTGGAGGGAAGTTTCTTCACAGACGTTGTGTGACTGGCGAAATTTTATTAACGAATGTATTTTGGACTTTGCAGCTCTGTATTGAGAAGAAGAAGGGGGGAAAGATATTTCTGCTTTTAAAAGAAAGCTTCATTATGGTAAGTGCATTTTATTTTATTGTTTATTTTGTAGAATGTTATATTCATGTTTTTGGTATGAATTTCCGTTTTATGTTTGGTTTTGAATTGTCTGAAATTATTTTAGTTATATTCTTGATTTTTTTTTTTAGTGTAGATTGTGCAATTCGTAGATGTTTTTTAAAGTTGAACAGAACTCTGTGTACATGGTATTCTTTGAAATTTATTGTTGTTATGTTAAAGCGAGGTGTGCGTAGTTCGTAGATTCGTTCGTTGCCTACAGTGTGCATTCGTAGATGTTTTTTTAAGTTAAAACATGTCGCTGTGTACATGGATTCTTGTCAAATATTTTTGGTTAGAAACTTTACGTTTTTGCTATCTAAATTTTTGTTTTGTTTCGGATTTTTAGCTTAAACGTGTGTTCAAAACGTAGTTTTTGCATGTGCGAAAACTGTGTTTTTGGAGACATTTTAGGCTTAAAGTTCGAAATGTAGACAAAAAATTTAAATAGTAATATGGCAGCGTAAAATTTGGCGACTTGAGGGCGCATATCAGAGTAGTTCCAAACAATGAATGTAACGTTCTACAAAATAAAAACAGTGAAATAAAATGCACTTACCATAATAAATTCCTAAATAAAATTTCGCCAGTCACACAACATCTCTGAACAAAAGTGCCACGATTTTGCTATATCACATGTCTTTCTGAGATTCAAAGTTTCATAAGTAACGATAAAAACTTCCGGTACTTTTCCGTTTTGCTAGCGTAAACGATAAAGTCACCAATAATGGTACAACTGATGCCAAACGGAATATCTTTGCTGGTAACCTTTTACGTTTCATTTTCGAAACAAGTCGCAGCCATTTCTTATCAGATTGATTGTTTCTTTCAATACTGGCATACAATTACATAGAATTTTTACAAGACAGTTAAATTTTATGCCCAAAGACCATTCGCAGTAATTAAGTCAATTAGGATGCAATCACACCGCTCACCGGAAGGCAAAAATATAGAAAGGCAAAATCAAGGGTTAAATTCATCAATTCTAATGAGAATGCACTAGCGAGGTAAAGCACTGCGGTTTTACATAATTTCTGAGTAAGCTATTCGTACGAATTGAAATAATTCTTGCATTTAAAATATTATTCCAAATTAAGATTTAACTTGAAATTAATATAGATAATTACTGAGAGAAATAGATTGTTGTAGCGTAGTTTACGTGAGATGAGATCACTTGGGGTCACATGATAAGAACCGGCGCATCAGGATGTTGAACCATGAAAGCATAGTAAATTCTCAAATTAATATCTTTTTACAAATTTATTGGCTTTTTATAAAATTTTAAACCAGATTAAAATCAAACCATATAAAAATAAAAAATTCTTAGAACTAACATTTGTTAACATTTTTTTATGTGCATAGTGTATGCTGTCGCCAACAAAATCTGCTTGGCTGTTTGGAAAAGTACCAAACTTCCTCCAAAGTTAACATACTACACGAAAACTACAATCGAAATCTTTAACTCCGCTGACAGCCACATACATACTCTGCTGAGCCTTTCCTTGAATTAGACATTTATGGCTGTGAATAATTATTTTACCCATGAAAAATGTAAAAACATTAATATGAGTAACACAAAAATTTGCAGGTTAGTCTATAGTTTAGGGTATCCCTTGGATTATTGCCAAGTTGTTTAATTTATCGCCAAGCTGTTGTTTCATTTATGGTAACCTGTGTAGTTGAACGTTATGGAACCCTGTTATGACGTGATTGGTTGTAATGCATGATTGCAGTGATTTTAACTGATAGAAAAATATTTGTAAGGGCTTACTTAGGTATGGATGTATGTTAGGAAGTACATTGCGTATTTTGGACTTAACACCGTAAAATGCCTGTTGTTGGTATGATTAACTTGAAGTTTCAATCCACTTCAGAATGATTGAGAAAGAAAACATTGATTGACTGGTGTGTAAATGAAGATTTAAATGGCTTCGTCAACCTCTCGGTAAATTACGCAGTGAGATTTAAGGATATCAAAACTGTAGCTCATATTAACACTATGGAAAATATGTGGGGTGCAATAAAAAGGGATTTTTTAAAGAAATGCTACTGGAAATACGGAGGATATTTTTCATTTTTACTTTTGTGAATTAATGAGACAACGGCAGTATACAGTTTCTAGGTTTGATAATTTTAAATAGTTTTTGGATGTTAAGGAATTCTGTATGTTGCACATATCGAAGAAACATAAATTTTTAAATAAAGTAAGTCGATATTTTCTTTTTGTACTGCGTAGATTAGATAACATGTATTTCCATTCTTATATTATTTCCATGTTTGATTTAAAATGCAGTTGTGGTAAGTTTTGTTCCGTTGGTTGTGGTGGTAGAAGAATATGTCACATGTTGTGAAAAAGATGAATATAGTGGCAACTTACCCTAGGATAAGATTCAGGGACAAGATACGCCGTGACGAGAGAGTGACAAACACGTGAAAACAGATTTAATTCTTGCTTTATTGAATACTACCAATGTTGAAGAGATATTTTTTTTTTGGATACGTTGTGACACATGGCGATATGAGGCCTCCTCACAGAAAAATAAGTAGATCAATGCTTCCACAGAGACCTTTGAAGGTGTGGTATTTTGCAGCTCAATCACGTGTAGGTGCTCTTCATCGGGATTTAATAGGTTGCTGGGCGAAAAAGCCAATCCCAAGAAGGAAGAGATCAGCTAAAATTTTGTAGCTACAGCATCAGAAAGAAAGAAAACTCGCTTCCTTCATACACCCATGGAGACCCAGAAAGCTTGCACGATAAATTCAAAAACTTTGCATTTCACCCCATTCTTACTGTCTTTCTCCACGCACCATCTCCATCTCGCACCTTCACAATTTCCTCCTCTCGAGGTGGACAAAATTACCGCTTTTTATAAAGTTCCACAGTTATACTGTAGTTAAGTTTTGCAGCCAATGAAAAAATCCAAGCGTCAGAAGGCAACCAATCGCAAAATACCTTCAGCTACACAAGCAAACCAGAGTGAAGTGGCTAGTTGTCTGATGCAACACTTTCCGCCGCTTACAACAGTTGTCTGATGAAATTCGTTCCTCAGCTTACAATACAAGTTGGCGAAAAAAAAGGAAACTGTCACCAATGCAATCTGATAGAAACATCTAAATACTGCCTTAACGTTGTAAATAATTAATTCAATGTGACCTCGTCACAGCAGTTTATTGAGGTTTTATATTTTATATTTTATTGCATTATGTTCTAGAAACCATTTTACTGGAGAGGGCATTGGATGTAAACATGAATGCCTCCAAAAATTCGCCAATTTTTGCAAAGGGGTACCCTGAAATATATTTTTACCAATTTACCTTTTATTCAAACATTTACGTATGAAAATAATCTAATTTCCTGCTGGTTTGATATAGCTTGTAGGAAAATTTTATTTGTATATATTCCCAAAATTGGAAAGATTTTATCACTTTTGGTTTTACAGATTGTGTGAGTAAAAACTTAATTACTGACACATATTGCAGCCTTCATATCCACTAAGGTAGGAAGTTTACTTTCCATGCATTGAGTTTTCTTAATATTTTCTTCAGCATGAAAAGAAGAACCATTGTCAACCCAGAGCAGAATTTTTTGCAATTTGGCTGAAAGTTCATCTCACTTTTGTACCTCTTCTCTCTTCAGAAATGATTGCCATTCTTGCATTCATGTTTCTTGATGTTATCCATGGACTATGATTAGATTTATAGGAAACAGGGAGAGATTTCTCATTTTTTAAGCATCCTGGCTTTGAAAGTTTCTAGCTACCCAAAGCCTATAGTGCTCAATGTCATTCCTATTGGCACTTGCAAGAATTCTGATTTGTACATTTGACTATCTTCAGCCAGTGCATTAAACCTATCTAACTAACCATTGAGCACGAAAAGTCACTCTCTCCAATGTATCTGGCAAATTCCTTGGTTTTTGTCTGAAGCATTTGTCCTGATATTGACAGATGGCAGCTTCTTTGAAAAAAGAACCATTTCAGCAGTGTTTCTTCAACATCGTCATGTGTAGCTTTCCTCAAATTTTATCTCATGTCCAAATTTTTTCCTTAAGCACAAATTATCAAGTCTCCATATTTTCATATAGTGCCAGTTGTAGATTTGAATTAACTGTATTCCTGGGAGGTATGTATTTGACTTGAAGAATTTTGTATTTTTCAAATAATATTTATCTTATCCTCAATACAGAATGATGCAAAACTGCAAGCACTTTATCACAGCAATAAGGAATTTCAATGCAATGAGTGTTAACAAAAGATCTTTAAACATATATAAGATTTGGTAGGCTTCAGTTGACACAACTTAAGCTAACAAAGTATCGGGCAAAATATTTTTCAAAAATAATAATCTTTAGTGATTGGGCCCATTCTCATGTGTCTTGGTTTATTAAAAAAGAAAACTGCTGCATTTTGGGTTTTAAAAACTTTAGAGCAATGGTTCTTAACCTTTTTTTGCTCTGTGCACCCCTTTCACCATTGTCACCGCCATTCCCAAACTCAAAAAATACAGACATTTATTTAAATTTAGATTATTTTTTAATGTGTTTCATAAATTAAATGTAGGAAATATTAATAAATACCACACTTTAATAAAAGCAGTTTTCTATATTCATAAAATTATATGGTATTTCTCCTCGCCTTTTTAGCGTGCCTTCATGTTGTAGTGGTCTGCATGCTTGGTGCATATTCGAGAGGTCCATGGTTTGATTCCCGCCAAGGGCATTGCTCATTATTCATCTCTCTTGCTTTGAAATAATCTAATGTCTCAACAGTGGTGCCTGAACTAAAATGGTGGTGGATGACAATTCTCCACCACCAGGATTTGGCAATTCGGTCCCCTAATCTCCAGTCGCCCTTTAAAAGGGGGAGTATATAAGGTATTTCTTCTGCCTTCGTGGTGTAGTGGTCTGCACGATCAGCGTGTATTTGTGGTTCGATTCCCAGCGAGGGCATTGCCCATTTTTCATCTCTCTTGCTTCGAAATAACCTAATGTCTCTACAAAATAAAACTAAATACATAAAATTAAATACTTCCAGATAAATAAAAGGCTGACCACATTCCTGCCTCTTCTGGTTGAGAATCTCTGCCCTAAGGTGATCCAAAAGAATCAAATGTATCTCCCACTGAACATTGTTTGGTATGGTTTTGAGGTAAGAGATGTGACTTGTCCCTTCTTTTTTTGAAGGTGATGTGGGAAATGCAGTTATGCTAAATGCTGATTGTTATTGTTGCATGAACATAAAACTTTTGCTTCCTGCTCTGAAGTAAACAAATACCATGAAAATTTAATTTCATCAAGATTGAGTTATCCTCACACAATTATAACCTTGCTTGATGAAAAATTCATTGGATGTATTTTCTTACTTCATGGCAAAGACTGATAATGGCCTGCAAACTTACACTTTGAGACTTCATTTAATAGGATTATGCCAAGATGAAAGTTTATTTGAGGAAGCTATGGGCAACTCCAGAGCTAAAAAAAAGATTTTCTGCCTGTTATTAAAACAGAGACATATAACTTTGTTTTAGAACTTCAGTGACAGAACTTCCTGCTGAGAAAACGGAAGTAAGTAAGTATGCATGATGTGGATTTCCAAAATCAGAGTGTACATAGGAGGAAATAAGACAAAAGTTCTTGTGTTTTTATGCAGCTCTGATTGATTTAATGTATTTTTAAAACCTACACAACTAATAAAACAGCTCATAATTTGGTAGCCATTTGTTTATTTTGTGTTGAAGATCATGTGAGACTTTTCATTTCTGAAATTAATGACAGTAGACTCTTTAATTGTGATGTTTCCAACAATTAATTATAGGAAGTTTCCAACAATTAATTTTGGCAGTTCTTTTCATATGTCTAGGTGCAGGAACAGATTAAAACATGACACTGCTCATACTTTGAACCCATTCTGGATGACTCCATGCAAGCCTTGAACATCCATGCCTGTAGAGGTAACATTATAAAAGAATGGTGGCTGCATGCTGTTCATGAAATCCACAACATGAGAGATAACAAGTGAAACCTGTCCAAGATAACCCTAGAATGAGTCTGTCATTCCTGCTTTGGAATCGGAGAAGTAGCCAAATCCTTGATCCCACCTCAGCCATACGTGTGGAGAAAGCTTTAATGCCCAGGGGAATCAGCAGAGAAATTAGACAAGTTAATGCAAGGCCATGCAACTTTCCATCATGAGAAAAGTGGTACGCTGACCAGATTGGACTGTTGTACTCCTGTGGGAAGAGAAGCAATGAGTGCTGCTTTCTGAGTGAGTTTGAATTTTCTTGAGCATTGCATGTCGTAAATTATGTCAATGCCTGACAGAGGTGGCGAGATAACCATTATAAACAAAAACTAATTTTGATGATCAGTATAAAATTAAAAATAACAATTTTTATATAAATAAACTTGTTTAATTTTTAATAACGACTGCATATTATCTGTTTTGCAGGTGTGATACACAGGCACTAAATAATTTGTGCTCTCTTTGGAGTTCATTTGGACATCTCCTAGTTCTATTTTTTCAAATCAATCAGTTTTCATCACTGAAAAACACAGAAAGAGGTAATCATAGTTTTTCTTAATGAATATAACTATGAAAATCTGTACTTTTGCAATTCATATTTTTTGTAAGAATTACAGGATGGTAAATTTCATATAAATAAACCAATTTAAAAAATAAACATGTTGCTAACCTTTTATGTTAAAATAACATGCCAAATAATGATTATTGGAGAAGTCAAACAACAAGAATCGGCGTAATCTTTGTAAATTTTGCAGGACTGGTTTTGATAGTTTAATCACTGAAGATTCCTCATCAGCTGCCCAAGGGCAAATGAATGAGATAAAAAATGGTGATAAGATAAGAATAGCTGGACAGAAGTTAGATGAAACAAGAAAACTAAAACATAATTTCCTTAAAGGCTAAAGGTAAGTTTGGATTGGAATTAGGGTTGTTAACTAAAACAGAAAGATTTTTTTGAATATGAAATGCCTCTAGAAAATCTAAATTACACATGGGAGATGTTTTTTGAATAATTTTGGCTGCAGAAAAATGGAAAGTGGGATTTTCAGACCAAAAGTGCTGGGCAACTGAGGATTTCTGTTTCCTTTTTTCTAACCTATGCCTCATGTTCTTTAACATGAAATTTTAAGGCTCTGTGTTATTTGAGTGACATACTTGAAAAATTAAATGAACTAAATTTGTCACTTCAAGGAAAAAGTTGCAACATATTCATATTCAAATCAAAAATCGATGCTTTAGTTCAGAAAATTACCATATGGAGAACCATGGTGGAAAAGGGTTCATTAGAACTGTTTATCACAACAATTGAATTTTTAAGTGAAAATGATGAAGCAGATCATCAAAAAAGATGACTTGTTAAAAGTGATAAATGAACATCTTCTGTGTCTTGAGAAAAATTTCCCTTCGAATTTTAGTGCCAAAGAACTAATATGGTTTGTGAAACCATTCGGAATTAATGTGGAAAATATTACTCATTTGTCATTAAAATCACAAGAACTTACCAAGTTATCAAATGATTGGAGGTTGGAAATTGATTTTAATGCGAAGTCCTTAGAAGATTTTTGGCCAGGAGTCACAAAAGAATTTCCAACGAGTTTTGAAACTGGCTTAAACTTTGCCTTTTTTTTTTTATCTATGACGTATTTGTATGAGAGGATATTCTCATCTTTAACCACCATAAAATCAAAGTGTCGATGAAACATAAAGAATATTAATGAAGTGCTACATCCTGTGGTGTCAACTCTTTTGCCAAGATTTGATAATATAATTAAAAATAAACAGGCACACCCGTCCCATTGATCTTAATCCTTGCTTAGCGCTGTTGAAAGTAAGTGGGTTGTCTCAGTAGTGATCTTCCAAGTGGCTACACTAAATGGACAAATAATAGTTAAGACTATAGTTAATGTTTGAATGCACCCAAGTAATTGAATTAATTTTTATTATTGTATCATATTTTTAAGTTTATTACTTATTTAAAATTTTCACATTATACTGTTTTAAAATTAAAAATTAAAGTTAATGACCTAAAACTGCAATACTATAAAAGTATAAGGCATTATATATTACAGTACAAGTGAAGAAACTGACAGTTTCACTCATGCATGTGTTGGATTTGCTCAATGCTTATGTGGTCCCACAAAATTTTTGAAAATATTATGGGGTCTCCATACCAAAAAGTGTAAGAAACCCTGGTTAAACCATCAGAACTTGTCATGCAGAATTTACAAATATTATGCTGATTCTTGTTTTTTGACTTCTCCAACAAACATTGCTAACCTCTTAAATGAAGGTTCTTATTATTTGATCTCTAAAGATTCTTCATCTTTGAGATCTCAAAGAAACTGATTTAAACACTTCATCTTACCATTTAGCTAAATATTTAGATTCCAGATTTTCTCCTTTACTAGTCAGAAACACTTAAAAATAAACATAAAAAAATCAGCAGACTTTATTACAATTATTAAGTCATTAATTTTTAATAATTAAATGATTATTATTATAAAAATAATAAATAATTAATAATTAAAAATTTAATTTAGTATTAAATTTAATTAAACAATATTTCTTTTAAAAATTTCATCATGTTTCATCTGATGTAAAATCATTGACCAGTGTTCCAATAAAAGCTGCTCTCAAATGTCTAAACATTATGCTTTGGGAGTTTGCTTTCTCATTGATTAAAACTAATGAGTTAATTTCTCTTACTCATATTTTTCTCAAACGCATTTGATATTCTAAAATAATTATTACTGCCAGATCGAAGGATTAGCTTTGAGAAGCCCTTTCAGTCATATTTTTGCTCATGGTTGTTCATTATCATGCTAGGAGGAATTATTAATTTACATTTTCACTGTCCTTCATTCGCTTTACCTCATTGTTCTGTTTTGATACCACATTATACTCTTTTTGTACTACTTGTACTTTAATGCAAATGCAACTGTTTTTATCTGTATGTTGTAAATAATTCATTGCAAATATATGTTAGTGTATTCAAAACTGAGTTTCTGTTGTGATGTGTACTGACTGAAAATATACGTCTATGATAATCTTTCCATTCTTCACAGGTATAATGATTCAATATAAGATAATGATGGAAAAGAGTGATCTATGATTTTCAAAGTTATCAGGAGTGAAAATTACACATCGATAATGATTTTTAAGGTTAAAATGCTATGGATTTCTTATTCTCAACCTTCTACTTGTATGTGTAATGGCAAATTACCTAAAAATGTATTAATTGCAATATTGTGAGGAGTTGCATGATCTATTGTTGTTTGCAAAAGAAAATTATGTTGAATGAAGGGTTTTTTTTTTTTTTTGTTCTTTTATGAGAAATGTCCCTATTGCAGATGCATAAGTAATCTTTTCAATAACTCTTTTATTTAAAATTTTCAAAATATGAGAATTATATCTCTTTTTTTAACCTTTCATTTTGCATAAAATATTTTTTATAGTTGTGATATGTTCTTTAATGTGTGTTAGGTGAGAAACCTAACAAAATTCATTGTTGAGGATTATGCGAAGATATTTCAGTTGTTTTACTAGCTTGATTTTTTATTATTATTATTTAATTTAATTATTGGGTTTCTTTAAAATTTTTGGCAGAGGTTGTTAAGAAATTTTTCCACGAGTCTCCCCCCCCAATATATGGTGAGTTTTTATTTGCTACAATTTCAAATATTTAGAGTTTCCTTGCAGTTAGATTCTAATTGCCTTTTTAATTTGAAATTTATGTTTACTATTCATACTTTCATCGCAACAATGGTATACCTCTGCCCTATTCCCTGTTCTAAGAGTTCCCATCTAAAGTTAAATTCCTTTAAAACTTGTTTATTGTACTTAAAAAATAATATACAGTTGTAAGGGATGATAATTACTATCATTATTTAGAGCTTGTCGATGGACATAAAAATAATAATGAAATAAAAAATAAAAGTCATACATCTTGCATAAAGGAATTTATTTAAACTATGATGTTTTTCAAAGCAAGGCACGACACATAATTCAAGCTTTGATGTGCATGTTTTGCACAAATATCAGGTTTATTGTCAAATTTGGTGGAAATTACACAACACATTTCCTTTTTGGTGTAACTGTGGGTGTTGTGTGCATGTAGTGTTGGCCTTCCAATTGCAACATATCTGAAGACTTATGATGTGTGAAATAATTTTTAGGAACTGGTACATCCTTGCCTTCACTAGAGTTCAGTAGCTAATGTATTACTTCTTTTCGAAACTAGATCTGATGTTGCTTTTGATGGATTTTGGTATATAACACATAGGAACTAGAAACTGCTATACCCAAATGTTCAAGCAGTTTTCTGTACCATTTTAGTGATTTCCTTAATGGTAAGTAACAGGAAAGAAATTGATAAATTTTGTTGGCACCACACAAGTTTGTTGTAATCTAGAACAATGTCCTGAAATTGGTAACCTCTGAAACAATTTTACACAGCCTCTGACAGGGTTGCCATTCTACTTGGAAAACCTGAAAAACTGGGAAAAGTCAGGGAAATTAAATATTTCAGACAAAATCTGGAAAGTCAGGGAATTTCATATAGCGATTCCCCAAGAGAGTTATTTTTTACGCCAACGTTGGAAGCAATCACTTTCTTGGCGAATTATGTATCTCGTAAGCGTCATTCGGGCAGCTGATATAGAGCCAATTTTAGCACCTCCAATCAGATTGTCTGTTAGAAAGGCAAAACAAGTTTCCAGTAAATTCAAGAACCAAGAGATTTGCATGTGCATGTGCAGTGCATGTTAAATGAAAGAAAATACCTTCCCATTCTCTTATAAAACAAAATCGGTTAAATCCCTAGTGTATGGTACACACAAGATTTGGTGGCATGATGAGCAGTAAATGGATCGTTTTGGTATTGACGACAGTTGTCAAAATTGTGCCAATGCCATACCATATACTAGGATTTTACCGCGAAATCTTTTAAACCTTTTTTTTCTTTTTGATAAATGCCTTACTTGTCATTTTGCAGTAAAATAACAAAATAGTAAACAGTCATCTAGGTTAACCATTTAATATAATTATATTTACCAAAATATCACTGATTATTATAATTCAGTTTTTAATCTTAAAGTAATTAACTATATTTTAATGCTATTCATATCATTTAATGTGGCTTTTTCCTTCTAAATTTATTATTAGTTAATAATACTTTCAAATTTCAGGCAGTTTTGTCTGGCATACTTCTGAAAATAATTCTAGTACTATGATGACATACCATTACAAAATTTAATGCACATATTTTTTGCTTTTGTACTGCTAAATAAATATAAAATACCTGAATTTATTAAAAAATATAATTAGTTTTCTTTCTTTTGTTAACCTGCAAAATGTCTAAAAAATAATCCAGTTAATTAGAGTTAATTAATTAGAATTAGAGTTTAATTTAATTAGAGTTAGAGAAAATAAAACTCTCTCAGTTAGAGGCAGAATTAGCTTTAGCCAACACTAGGAAAGACTTGCTACAAAATCCAAATGTTGGGACGGACACCTCAAATCGCAATAGGGAAAATTTAATTAAAAAAGTAAAAACATTAAAAATTTTGGTACCTACCCCAAAGCAGAATCCAGGGCGTTTAGGACAAAACAAGTACCTAAAGATTTAAAAACAGAAATCCTATTAAATATTTTGGGAGAGAAGGTCACTAATTTAATGGTATATGTCAATGAAGAAGAGATTAATAATTGCGATAAAATAAAGGCTATAATTTTAAAGGAATTTCAGCCAACCCCTCAAGAGTGCTTAAATCATTTTCATTTTACATAAAAATTGTCATCCGAAAACTTTGTGCAATTCACATCAGTCTGTATATAGACTACTTAAATGCAATTAAAACTGCTTTATTGAACCTCTCATTCCGTACAGAGTGATTTTTATTCTCATACAGGAATAATTTTTATTTAAGTTTTTCATAAATTATCTGCATGTTTTGTAAGATATTCTTTTTACTTCATTTCAATTTTTGGTTTTGCGTGTTTTTTTAGAAACATATACGCATCAGCTTGTCTAAGTATGGATTCAGTCAGAATCATTAGTAGTTGTATGAACATTTATATTATTATGAAAACATTTTTTGCATATTTTTCTAAAGCACAAAAATCTTAGTGATAGCTTTCTTTGCATTATATTATATTTTAAATTAATTTTTATGATTGTGCAAAATAATTTTCCTGTATCCATGCTTAACACCTTCGCGCCGATTGTCACGTCTACGTGCCAGCAACGAACACACTCACTTCCCGGCCGACACGTAGGCGTGCCAGAGCATTTTCTCGTTCAGCCCCCGACTGTCATGTATTTGTGCCAGTGTCTTGGAACGTTTGAAAAACTATAATTTCTGCCACAAGATGGCACTGTATGTCCATATGGTTTCAGATACATGTACATTAGACCTTCTACTCGAAATGAGATAAGCATGACTCACATACACGTGTTTTTGATTATATAAACAAAAGGGGAAATGAATGTTTCTGAATGGTGTGATTTATGATGTCTCTTTAAATTCGCACGTGGTAGTTGTTTATTGTAAGTAGAGAAGTTTTATTTTCGCTAAAGCGTTGGTTATTTCGGTTTTTTTTTTTTTTTTTTTTTTTTTTTTTTTTTTTTTTTTTTTTTTAATTAGATCTTGTTAGATGTGAATTCTTTCTGTTTTTTATAGAAACAGACCGAATAAATATTTTTTAATAGAAAATTTGCTAGATGTGAATTTTTTCTGTTTTAGAAAATAATTAGATCTTGTTAGATGTGAATTCTTTCTGTTTTTACCGTTGCAATCACACCAAGATCAGCAGAATCATTAAATCCACTCAGATTAACTGAAAGTCATTTTCGAAAACTTTGTTCAGAAGAAACTGATGAGAAAATGAGACGATGATGCTTCGTTTGTTCACATTCCCAGAAAAATCCTCCAAAACGCCAAATGAGTTATTACGAGTGCAAGGAATGTAACGTAGGACTGTGTGTAGAATCCCTGTTTTCAAATTTTTCATACGAAAAGAGAATTTTAAGTAATATATTTAGTTTTCAGATGTATAATGTTAAAAGTCATAAAATGGTAAGTAATGAAAATAAAATGTGTAAAATATGCATTTAAACAAGAAATAAGGTAATTAAAGTATATAGTATAAAAATATCTATAAAGCATAAGCCGTTTAAATACTCTATAGAGCATTATTAAACGATGCGTTGATACTTCGGAAATTTCATGGATTTAGGCTTAATAGCAAAAAAGCCCCCCGCTCTGGACAGACTCTCACGTAAGACACTGCCGGCCTCCGCGATAAACGCGCGTTTGCGCTACCCGGCACGAAGGTGTTAAGTATCTAGAGAATGTTCAACCTGGTCTTATCTAAAAGTGCTGTTTCAGTTTTTTTCTTTTTAAAATTTCTGAAATCATACAAAAAGTGCAGCCTTAAAATTTGTCGAAATTAGTAATTAATCTTTTTATGCCACTATGTTTGCAAATGTAGTATTACCTCTAGTGTGTCTTAAGATACTGGACATTAATACCTGTAATGTATTTTTTAGGCATCAAAAGGTGTACAGATGAATGTAGACTCTGAAAGCAAGGGGAGTAGTGCATGATGAGAAAATAATTTTTAAAGTGGATCAATTAGAAAGAAATATAAAACTGGGGAATATTGTTGGGATCATAAGTTATCACACAATGTTGTGTAAGTAATAATGCTCAAATCATCTGAATCTGATAATGCAAAAATATTAGACATATGGAGATTAATTCTTATGCAATTATTGGTTCTTGTTGCACTTGAACTATTTTTATATATCCTATTCTGTATCTATTATGATGTTAAGTGTCTCTAAGCTTCTTGTTTTGTCAGTTTTAAATTTCTATGAGAGAATGTAATTTTAACTTTTTGTATTGTATTTGTATCTTTCTTGAACTGAATTTTTGACATTTATAAACTATGGCAGTTGTACATTTATGAAAATTTTCATAGGTCTGTTAAAAGCAAAGGCCTGGAATAATTCTAGGCATATTTGTATGAATCATGATAAACTAACATGGCACCTAAGACACAATAACACGCCGAACAAATACTAATTCAGAAGTCAAGCAACAAAAAGAACAATTTGACTAATTCAGAAGTCAAGTTTTCTGTGAAAATTTGAAAATATTATGCTGATTTTGTAGAAAATTTGAAAATATTATGTTGATTTTGTTTGACTTCTGAATTAACATGGCACTTATAAAAGGTGTCTCAAAATTCTACATACAGATTTTGAGGTAAGGTACAGAACATTGAGATTAATCATATTTGCTACAATAACTTAAGTTGCATGGGGGAAATAACATGGCTTCCTCTGTGAGAATAAAGTTCATTTTTGCCTGAATCCTTTAAGGCATCATACCAAGAACAATCCTTCTAATCATTTATTGTACTGGCTGAGATCTATACTCAGAATCTCAGCTTGGTGGTATAATATACTGGAACTGGATGAATGCTCTATATTCTTGAAGGTGTGTTGTATAGTCCAGTGTACCTCTGCAGAGGCTGGGTCGAGGAGGGCAGGCTTTGGGCCTGAACAGTATTGTTCTGGGGCTCTAAACCCCTCTGTGGATTCCTCACTTCCTCAGCCTGATGGGGGAAGCCTATAATGGCACAAGGTAGATAGGAGCAGGATGGCTACGATATATTTATCACAGTCAAATGATCCCATGTTTCTAGCTTGGCACTAGCAGAGCAGTAATGACATTGACCTTTACTGATGCCATTATCTTGGCAAACATTGCCATTAACAAATCCATACAGCATTCTGCAACAGCACTTAGTTTTCATTGCCAAATATAGATGATGCCACTAGGCCAAACTACATCACATGGCGACAGTACCAGCACAGCAGCCATTTTGGTGACTCAAAGTAATTACCTGCTGTGCTACCATTGTTTTCACTCTGCATGGCAGTATTGACTGTATGTTGATGCTGTGCCTCAGTTTTTTTGGTTTCAAATTACATATGGTAGTCGATGAAAATGGTGAAATTCATGCACTTATGAGTGCATATGGCAAAATACTCCACTAGAGACCCGGCTGACAGCTCAATGTGCTTGCTTCTGCTACCATATACTGTCTAGCAAATATCATACCTATTAAAAAAGAGCACTGTGAGATGATTTCACGCACTGCAAATCAATAAATCGGAAGTTTCTGAAACATACAAATATGCTAGATGTGAAAATACAAAAGACAGAAATATGGTATTTACATAGGTTCTCTCTGTTCTTAGAGAGTGGTCTTCCCAAGCATAAATTCCAGGAATTGGAATCCAGGAGTTTGGGAACTTGTGACCTTCTGCCCTTGCCACTAGTGTGTTGAGATAAGATGATAGGAATAAAATCATGTATAGGATTAGATTATAGGATAGGAATAAAATCATGTATAGGAGAGATTATAGGAATAAAATCATGTATAGGCACGAGGAACTTTACAAATTAGAAAGCTTGCATTTTAAAATCTTATTTTAAATCGATAACTGAACTTACTTGTGTTAGGAAAGCATGCAGCTGTAATAATGACCAAGTTTATGATTTTTATTCTGAATTATTGATATTGAGTGATTTAGGAAGTCATAAAAAATAAAATCTCGTTAATAATATTAAATCTTTATTTTAATTTTGTGTATGAAACTAGTGAAGATTGGACTGCATAAATCAAGAGCTACATATATGTTTTTAAAAACCTTGCATGGTTATTTCATATGTACCCAGAATTTAAGGACAAGTATCATTAAACAAAGTTGCTACTTCACCATTTACTGAATCCTCTTGCTATGAGAAATATATGTCACAGAAAGCTTCTGAATATGCTAATTTCCCATTCTTTCATTTAAGAAGCATTATACTGAGTGTTCTTCATTATGTTGAGTACTTAAAAACCAGGATAAAAGGTACCATTGCATTTGTGAGAAATTCTGAATGAGAAAAAATGCTTTGAAACTTGGAAATTTTTGCCACTTCCTCTAAGGTGGCATCTTAATCAATGTAATGCAGACAGAAAGATTATAGGAAAGTTGAAATATTGCCTCAATTTTTGATGCAGTTGAGGTTTAATGTGCTTGCTTTTAAGCTACTCCTCCATTAGATTTCTTGCATGTTGACATGCATTATCATCCACAAAAAGAAATGCTAGACCAACTGCTGTGTCATGAAATCTTACAAAGGGAATCAAGGACTTTGTCCGACCTATAATAGTATCTCTTGTAAATATTGCGTGATTGGGCCAACAGATTAAAGAAATTCAGTTATTCCATAACACAGCTTGCTTTGAAGGTTCGAGATTCAGTAATATTACTGAGCATATTTCATGCTTCTGTCCAAATCCTTATACTTTCATTGTCAGATTGTAATGTAAATTTTGATCCATCTATGAAGAGTACAAGTAGACTTTTGAACTCAAATTTTTCAATTTGTATGTAAATAAATCCACTTTGTATATACTTCTCTGTCTTTGGAAATTACTTATGATAGACTTTTACTATGTTGTTATTGTGCTGTTAGACATATTCTGTAGCATTTTAATTTTAACATTAGCAATATTATTTTTATATACTTTGTAATGAGAGTTGCAGTTTTAGCTGTGGTATATTATTCCATATTGGTATTTACTTCAAAATTTTTATTAGATCTGTTGATTTCAGACAAAAATAAATTCTAATCAAATTCTTTTTATTTTTAGTTATCAGAATCAATGGCTCTCTAACTAATTCATATAGACGCTCAGAAACTTTGGTGAACATTTTTGTTTTTTGAATTTCCATCAAAAATAAGGCTTAGTTTTAACTTTTATCTGTATCTTTAGTTTTCAGTTATAGTTACTAAATTCCATTTAGTTTTCTGAAGGTTAAAACGTTTGGACCCAGAAGTACCATTTCCACCTGAAAAAAGACACTGATTCAAAAGGATAAAAATCTGAAGTCAGAAAAGTGTGCAGACATTTTAAATAATCATTAAATGACATTTTCAATTTTAAAAATTCAAAATGTACTTTTTTATATATATTCGAGGTAATGGTCTGTGGTGCTGGCTGCTGTACTGATGGGCCTGATTTCAAATTTCAGAGAGGACATGGAAGTTTGCAAGCATATAGTATCTGTATGGCAAGGAAGACTTAAAATATATGGCAAACCTCTTGAGAGATTACTGGTAGGGGAAGAGGGGGTGGCTAACTCTTATACCACCTTCTAATGTGTTCTCTCAAAATTGGGGTAGAACTGCAGTCTTAGTGCGATACTTTGATATACGGTGTTTATTCTGGGGTTCTTTCGTCCAAGCGATACTTCCCAGATAAATAGTGAGTTCCTGCGGAGCCTTACATTGAAAAATTTCCCTGACTTATGTCCATGTAAGGATGTAGATAATTCTAGAAAGAAGTACTGCCACCATTGCCATGTGAATCTAGCATTAGAAGCTGCAATCTTGTAATGACTGGTAAAGCTGGAGGAGGCAGGGTCAGTCCAGAGAAGGAGCCAATCAGCATCGTGATAGATGATGCAAGGCATGTCGTGAAGTAGAAAATCAAGGATAATTCATGAACTAATTTGAGGAATGTCAAATATTGCCACTTAAAATGTGTTTAATTATGTAAGAATTGTCATACTGAAGCACACTTAGTGCAGTAAGGCTATACCTGTATGACCAGTGGTAGAATTTTGATGTCCTGCCCTCTTATAGTTGTACCTGTTTGTGTACCACCTGCTCCAAAGGTAAAAGGCAAAAGTGCAATAATTTGAAAAGTACAAGCTGTTGTATGATATGATTTTCACTGAAATTTGCAAAAAGCATGGGATTTTTTTAATTATGCAAAATTTTATTTGCAGCATACTTTCATTTTCCACAGGCAGGTGATGCTTCAGTTTTGTTATTAGTTCCCAAAGTAGTACAGCACAGCTTGCAGTGGAGGTAGAATTTCAGGTGTTTTGTGTGATGGCCAGTTTTCAGAAAAATGACTTAAGATAGTACACTTTGCATAGCATCATAAAGTTCTGCTGAAATTTGTGTCACATGATTGCAAATAGCATTTTTCAGTATGGCCAATAACATTAGCTGACTGTACACCTGTGACTTTGAGTAGCCTCATAATAAAAGCTCACCAGGTATAATGTGTGGAAATGTTTGTGTAGGAAAGTGGCTGAGGACACTGTCAATGCCAAACGTCGATCATGGCAGGTTCTTATAGATATACTTTATACTTCACAAATGTTACACTGTGGAAACACTTGCTTCTTTGCAAGAAAGTAATGATGTTGTCTCTGAAAAATGCTGCATAATGCTTGCGTATGAAGAAATTGAAGGGGGCCTTAGTGAATGATGTAATGAACCCAAACCACACTGTAACCTCTGGTTTCCATAATCTCTTGGGTTTTCTCTCACCTAGATGCAACAGCTATGTGCCTTTGCACTTTTTATTAAAAGTGCATGTCATCAGTTCATGTGGCATTTAGTAGATAATTTGCATGGTTTTTCTTTTTGTTGAAAAACCCAATTTGCAAATTCCTGACAGCTCTTGAAATTGATTAATTCTAATTCTTGTATATATATGCTTGATTTTATAAGGCTACCTTCTTAGAATGATTTTGATTAATCAAATCACAGTTCTGCAAAAAACACTATTGCTGTAGAATAGATACTGTACTACTTGGTGAAAAAAAATAA